GGGCTCTAGTTTGATCTTGTTTAGTTTATCTTTGTGTGTGTGTGTGTGTGTGTGTATGAAATTTTCAAAGGATAAACAAAATTATAATAAAAAATAAAATTAAAAGATATCAAGTGCTGGAGAGAACATTAAGACCCCATTTGCACTGCTGATTGTAAATTCATCATACGGAAAATAATATAAGAGGTGCCTCAAAAATTAAACCACCATATGATCTGGCAATTCTACTTCTGGGTATACAGGGGAAATAAAATTCAACATCAGAGAGACACCTGTCCTCCTCTGTTCACCGAGGCGGTGTCAGGGACTGCAGTATTCATCAGTGGGTCGGTGGCATACCATTAAGCCTCTGCAAAGAAGAAAAGGTTGCCATTTCTGATGAACAAACCAGGAGGCTATTACTCTGTGTGAAACAAGACAGATGGTCAAAGACAAACACGGTGTGAATTCACACAGTGAAAGTAGGCTCTAAAAAAAAAGTAAAAAGCAGAGAAACAGAGTAGAACAGGGGGAGATCAGTGAGGAGATGGGGTTCAAGTGATACAACCTTGCAGTTAGGAGATTAACAAATTCTGGAAAGCTCTCTCCCCCAAAAAGAAAAGGGAATAAGAAGGTTCTATTCCAACCTAACAGTGCTGGGTTGGTCATCCTCCCTCACTGAAGAGTTACCAGTGTGTAGCTTGTGCCCAAGCTCAGGGAGAGGACTCCTGCTGGATGACCCAACAGTAGCTGTGGTGAGCGTCTCCAAGCAACCGAGCCTGCTTCTGCAGCCCTGGCCTCTTGCATCTGCCGGCCATGTGAGCCAGCCCTGGGAGTAGCTGCCAGAGCCATTTGCACCACCTCCCACAGCATGCTGGGGGCCGCCGTGGAGCCACCCGCCTGAAGACAGCTGTAAAGCCATCCATCTGGGTGGCCATACTCACAGCCAGCTTGCCTGGGCCCTGCCGGACCCTTACTGACACCTGCAGGTTCAGGTGCCAGCAGCTAGGATGCATCTACTCTGGAGGTTTCTGATCCTCCTCTTGGTACTGCTAGCCTTGCCCGTGGCCCTGCCGGAGCAGCCTTGGCCTGGACTGACCAAGGCCCACAAGGATGGCCGGTCCACCCTAGCCAGAAGTGAGCCTACCCCTGGGCTTGGCCTGCTGCCCGTGGGGTGTGGGGAGGGCACAGCCGAGCCACCTTGGGTCAGCCTCTAATTTATCTTTTTCCCTTAGGCCTAAAGTACAAAAATATTGAGACTGGGTTAAATTTTTCCAATTCCTAGCACATGAACTCTTGTTGCATCGTTTTCTATTTCTCCCTTATCCTCATTCCCATTCCCTGACCATCTTGGCAGGAACTGTCATGTGCTTAGCTTGTGTATGTGCCTTTAATCCCAGCACTTGGGAGTCAGAAACGGGTACATCTCTGAGTTTAGGGCCTACCTGGTTTGACATCATGAGGCTCTGTCTCAAGACAACAGAAGCAATGAGCCATGTCTGCATCCTTTGCAGGAGGTGTTGGTATAACCCTGACGTATCACTCATCCTGCTTTTCACTCCCCACTTTATCCTGCTGCTTTATACCTTTATCCTGCTGGCGTCTCGGTTGTCTTGACTAGTGCAGAGAAGTCCATGCACTTTGTTACCCCCGTTTAACAGGGTGCTCTCCGCCCTCTCAGGGCTGTCGCCTAGGCTGTCTGGATCTTCCCGTTGCTGTAAGCAACACTGAGGTGAGCATCCTTGGATGTGTCCCCATTAGAACAATTGGGAGAATTCCTCTAGGATAGACATATCCAAAACAGATGGAAGCTCAGTTTAATTGAAACTGTTAGGCTCCTCTTTAAATGGGTGCGCTGGCATGCACTCACTCCCGTTGTAAGAGGACATATCTGTCTGCCCCTTCTCCTTACTCCCCACCACCTCTACCAACCAGCCATAGGGAGATGTACCAAGGGAAGATGCCATAGATGGGGTGAGACTGGGGCAGTGACAGGAGAGCCTAAACAACAGACAGTTACTGTTTTTACATAGTCTGACAGCGGGAAGCTCAAGTGTAAGGTGCTGACAGCTTTAGTGTCAGGGGAGGGACCTCTATTGCTTGCTGTGGATGGCTCTCTCTCACAGACTTTCAGAGAAGAACAAACCTGATATCTTCCTCTTACAAAGACACCAGCCCAATCGGATTAAGGCTGACCCTATGCCCTCATTTAACTGTATTTACTTCCTTGAAGCACTGTCTGAAATACAGTTGTGCATAGGTACCCATGAGGATTGGTCCCAGGTTTCCCCCTGAATCCTAGAACCTTTGGATGTGCCAACCTTTACATAAAATGGCACAGTGTCTGCACAGAACTGGTGCAAATGCTTCCTCATACTTGAAACCATCACTAGATTACTCATAAGACCTAGGACAATGCAAATGACTTGTAAATAACTAACATATCACATTCAGTGAATAATGGCAAAAAAAAAAAAAAAAAAAAACAGGCTGGACATGTTCAACACAGTTAATTTTTTCCCAAGTATTTCCAATCTACGGTTGATTGAATGTGCAGATAGAACAGAGGTGGGCTGTGCTCCTCCCAAACAGAAATAGTTTCAAATTCATCAATATATCAGTATATAGTTTGTGTTTGGAGTCTTCTTTATGGTGGAAGAGAAAGATTTATTGTAAATATATAAGGGCATAGCCAGAGGCAAAGACAGGGACCTCTTGGAGAGTCTAGAGAGGGCGTGACCAGACTGAGCTGTCCCACGTGGAGAGACCGGGCGGGGGGTATGGGGTGTGTGGAAAGAAGAGAGGAGAGAAAACAGCCAGGTGCAGCAGCCAGGAGGCCCAAGATCTTGTCACATCTCGGAATTACTCTAGCTGTCTTTTTCAACAGTGTTCTAGTTTTACCTTCCGCACTAAGGGTGTTAATCCACACAGTGGACATTTATCTCATGTGCATCTGTGCATGGAAAGTAAAGACCCAGCCTCATTCCTGCCCACATGAGTCAATTTCCCAGCACATCTAATAAAGGACTACATTCCCAACCCAAGGACTCATCTGCTTACAGACCTGTCTCTGCAACATGATCCTTTAGTTGTTGCTCCTTTGTGGAAGACTGCTTCTTCTGACAAACATTTTATTCTTCCATGTGAATTTTCCAGTGTGTTGAGTTCCTCTGAAAGACTCCATCTGGACATCTGATTTCACTCACACTGAATCTGACTCCAGAGTTGGAGGAAATGAATGCTTTCAATAATGGGAGACTGCCCATAAGCTTAGCATGTTGTTAATCAGATTTTACTCTATCCCCTATAAAAATCTTATAAGTTTTGAGCATTGTTTCTCAAGTTGATTCCTTGAAAATGTATAATTTTTACTGCAGAGTAAATTATTTTTTAAATGATATTCCTAGTTGGTGTTTTTGGTACAACTGAGAGAGATCTTCAGCCATAGTTTCCACTTAGGGAGCTTCTTAATGTGGACCTGTTTCTTCTCTGTGGGAGACAAGAAGACAGGCGTAAATGCTCAGCAGAAAAGGGATACACTGGGCTTGCCCCAGGCCTGCTGTGTCTGTAGCTCCACTCTTACACAGGAATAGGCACATCCTCAACCCATCTCGATTTCCAGTTATTGCGCAGGGCCTCCTGAAGCACAATGCCGAAGGCCGGATCCAGAGCATGCGCCTCCTGGACCGCCTGAACGTGTCAGGGACAGTGGCTCCAGGGATGGTGGGCTGGCTGATTGGTGGCATGAACTTCCAACAGCAGCAAGAGATCAGGTGAGACCTCAAATCCTATTCCTGGGGGCCCTCTAGGGACTTCCAGGTCAAGGGCAGAACTGGGAAAACAGAGAGCAAGGATTGGGAAAATGGAAGACATTCAGACTTAGGGAAAACAAGCCACAAAGCCAAAGATGAGGACAAGCTGGATTGGGAGGTGGGGGTGCTGCACATCAGGGAAGCTGGCAACAACAGCCACACTTAAAGCCCACTTTTGCCGCCAACATTGGGGAACATGTTTGGCCATTCTAAACTCACCTGGAAAATGCGGACACAGAACAGAGCCTGAATAAACATCTAGGACACCAATCAGGACCAGGGCTACAACCAGACACTTGACTCTCCATTCGAGTCGGGCACAGCTTTGTGGCTGTGCATAAGCAGTGGCCGCACTGCCCACAAACCGTGGGCCCTCGCCAGGTAAACAGTCACAGCGGTGGTCCTGCCCACAGGAGATGCCGTGGACTTTGACAGTCCTGACTGGAACATCTGAGAACCCTCAGTAGTCAGGATTTCCATGGCAAACCTAGGTACATCATAACCACACCCACTGAGACTGCTACTCTAAACCTTCCACCTCCCAAGTCTGCTTTCTGCCGCCCATCATTCTGCCTGCTCTGCACCTTCTCTTGACCTGAACTTTTCATTCCTCTTCATCTGAATGAGCCACAATGGTCACTAGCAGAGTTTTCCTATGAAAAAAAAAAATGCAGCCAAAAATCACCTCTTTTTAGTCATTTCTTTAATAAGCGTTATAATTCTCACCAAATATCTACTGCGCATAAATCACATTGAGAATAGAGCTATGAGCAAGACCTGTGAACCTTTACCTTTGGGGAGCTTGCATCCCAGTGAGACAGGCCTCAGAGAGTAATAACTAATTTCAGGTGAAAGAGCATGCCATGAAAACAAATTCAGGAAATGGGTGGGCTGATCAGGCCCCGTCCAAGAGATCACATGACGTGAAGAGAAGAGGACATGTGATGTGAGGGATGTGAGAGAGAAGTCTGGGAAGGAGAGGATGTGGGTGCAAAGGCACAGAGCTAAAAAAGAGATTGGTGTGTTTGAAGACTACCAGATATATCCCCATGTCTGGCTGAGCAAAGGGTCGGCAGTAAATGTAGGGAAACCAATGCCACAAGGCAAGTGTGTATAGACCATGCAGGTCTTGGGGGACATGGCGTACAATTGTATCTTATTCCAAGAGAGGAACCAGGGAATGAGAGGAAGTATGAAGGCTACAGGCTGCCTCATGGACAACAGTCTAAAGAGAGGCCAAGATCACAGCAGGGAGCCCAGGAAGGAACTGAAGCATCTTCAGAAAGAGGCAGCATGAGCAACAGGGGTAGTCAAACTCGGGATATATATTGCAAGTGGGCCAAGTGATTTTCAGATAGCAAATTGAGAGTAAAGTGTGTGGAAAAGGCAAGGGGCTTCCCTGTGGACTCCCAGACAGCTGATAGGGCTGTCCATTAAGACTGTCCTTGGTCCAAGAAGAGGCTCAAGGTCCTAGGATGGATGCTGTCAACATCTGGCCATGGACTGCATAATCCACAGCTGTAAGGAATACTTCAGGGGCCTTTTGACAGCTGGGCCCCAGGCTGTCAGAACATTCACACCAGGCTCTGGTGCCCAGCCTTACCACCTGGCTCTCCTTGCAGACAAGGCTAGCCTTGTTTCTGAGTTGCCTTCCCTGATCCCTGTGGGGCCTCTGCTTTCTCCACTTGTAGCATCAACATCACCAATGTGCAGCTGGACTGTGATGGGATCCAAATGGCTTTCCCCAAAGAGTGGTTCTCTGCAAACATCACACTTGAATTTGACATTGAATTCAGACTGTGAGTCCCACCCAACAGAGCAGAGTCTTTGTAGTTCTGTTCCTCCTTCTTGGGAACCTGGGAGCTAGGGGTGAGGCAAGACTGGGAGACTAGGCAATCCAGACCTTTCATGACCCTAGCCTGAACTCAAATTGTGACCCCTGCACTAATTCACCGTGACCCTAGGAGACCCTAGGATGAGTCACTATTCTCTGTTCCTTGCTTGCTTCTGCTGCAGCAGAGATGACACTCATGGGTCATTCATTTATTCAACCCCATGTTGTGTCAGCAACTGGGTCCTATGAAAAAAAGGAGGGAAGCCACTCCAACTCCTTCTCTCCCTCTGCTCACTCCCCTCCTGCTCAGACTTCTTGTAGGGGAGCCAGGAGCTGCAGACAGGTAGAAAAGCTCTTAAAACAGTGGCTTACTCTCAATTTCTGAATTTCCAGACTCCTAAACTGATCTCCTTAAGCAACTTTCAAAAGTCATGCTAAGTCTGGGAGTGAGCAGTGGACATGGGTTCAGTGGCAGAGCCCGCACTTAACATGCCCAGGCTTTATGTTCTATCTCTAGTACCAGAAAAATAAAAATAAGCATAGAAGGTCACTGTGGTCAATGGCCGCTTCCTCCTTACTAAGCTAGGGTTTAGCGGATGTGGGTCGTTGGGAGGACAGTGGATAGTGCCTGGATTCTCCACTCTTCTTGCTGGCTGCCCCCACCTCTTTCCACTTGGTCCTTCCTGCCTCCTCCTCTCGCACCACAGGCCCTTCAATTCGAATATCATCAAAACGCGTGCCCGCATGGGCCTCACTGCAGAGTCCTGGCTGGAGAAAGACGAGTTTGGCCGGAGGGAGCTGGTGATGGGCACGTGTCGCATGGAGCCCAGCAGTGATTGTGCGCCAATGTCTGCTGAGTAAGGCCTTCCGCTCTCCCCGGGGCAGCCCCTGACTCATGAGCAGCTGTGGCCTCATAGCTCCACACATCCTCATGAGTCTGAAGCAGACTTCATTCCTTCTCCAGCGCTTGTTCCTCCTGTGCCCTGCCCCCCAGGAGCTCCCCTTCCTCCCTGTGTTCCCTGACTCTTCACCCCATTCTCCAGCCACCGCAGAAATAACTTTCTAATGTGGAGCTCTGCTCTTTCCCCTAAGTTCCTGCTAAAATCCTATAAGGCGGGGGGGTGGGGGAACAAATTCAGAAATGCCTCTTGAGCCCCTCTGTCCTCACCCTCTGCCCCGTTCTGTGTCCACTTATCCTCATCTTTACAGCCCCGCCATGCCTGCACGTGGTGATCTTTCTTCTAGAATGCCTTCCTGACCTTTTCAAGCACCTCATGAAGATAGTCCCAAGTATTTACCCAAGAATCGCCTAGTGCCAGGCAACCTGCCTAATGCTAGAGACACCAGGGTGAACAGGACAGAAACAAGAATTGCATGGAGCTCTGGGGCCTGGCCGGCCAACTGTCCAGCTCAGTATACCACTGTGAGGGGTGTGCTGGTTTCTCTCTGTAATCTGCATGCTGAACCATGACACCCTTCATGAGTGCCCGCCCGTGTGGGCATCGGGTGTGTGGTAAATGCTTGGACTGTAGCAGACTTTGATGATGGAGAAGAAGACCATAAACTCTAGTGCTCTCCCGCCACAGTCCTGCTAAGAGTCAGCATTTACTCTCCTGTACTGACCCTGGCCATGTGCCATCACCTTTCTGGGTCCCCACAGACTATGGCTGACAAGAATACCACCAAGTGAGGTAGAGGGCCAAGTGAGGATTTGAGAATGCTCAAGCACACACCTCCCAGCAGAGTGTATAGTGTGGAATGGTTTGTTCTGTTCTGAATTCCCACCTCTCCTCCTAGGACACTCTCACCCAAGATGAAACATTTTCTCCACAACCTCAGAGAAAGCCTGGGGAAAGTGATCCCAAACCTGGTAGAAAGTCAGGTAAGTTTAAGGAAACCATGCACCCTGTGGACATCTCTCAGTCTGAGGATCAAAGCACACGTATGGGTGGTTTAGCAGAGAACTTGTAACCCTCTGCTAACCCTGGGCTTTGGAATCTGACAATAGAGCTAGCTTGCCATAGGAAAGGGACAGCCACCCTAAGCGGCCGTGTCCTCGTGTGTAGCACAGGCACAGATGAAATCCCCACCTCATAGAGTTGTGGAGCTTTGGTAAGCAGGCATGGGGGGGCTGCCCATGGCTCCTAGTGGTTGGCTGGGTCCTGCTAGAATCCAGTGGTGCTGGTGTCCCGTGCCTCAGAGACCTCCGTTCCTTCCTATGCCTGGATGACCCTCTGTCTGTGCTGGGGGCCTAGGTATGTCCTCTGATTGGTGAGATCCTCCAGCAGCTGGATGTGAAGCTGTTGAAAGGCCTCGTGGGTGAGTGTTGGGGTCCATCCTGGGAGGCCTCCTTGGGATTGGTAGATACTGAGGGAGGAGCCACCACTCTCGTGTGCTGTGAGAACATGTTATAGGTGCTCTATTGACTGCCCCCCCCAGGAGAGTGGGAAGAGTTGAAGGGACCCCAGCTGTGAGAACATGTTATAGGTGTTCTATTGACTGCCCCCCCAAGAGAGTGAGAATAATTGAAGGGACCCCAGCCAACCAGGTTGAACCCTACCAAACCACCAGACCAGAGATTCTACCTTCCCCCAAAAGCTCTCCAAATCCAGCAAGGAGAGAAGCCCTATCTAAACTCAAGACGACCCCTGCTCCAGGGACAGTTGAACTGCTTCAGCCCCTGCCCTGGTGGAACTCATAGCCTTGGCAATGGGGGGCCAGAAAGTCATCCATCAAGGGGATGTCATTCTGAATGAGTGATGAGAATGGTCCTGGCCCCAGCCCTTGGAGAATGTATGGGGAAGCATTCCCTTCTCTGTTGACCTGGGGAGAAGAGTCACCTAGCAACCAAGGCTCCCCTTCTCCTTTCAGAACAAGTGGCTGCTCATAATCTTGGTCAACTCTGAATCAGCCAGACCTCTGGCACCAGGCTCGAGGCGCCTCCTGCCACCTACCATTGGTCAGAAGGAGGTACTTCCAGTTGAGACCTTAAGTCTCTCTCAATGTAGGGCTTCTACTATTCCCTGGAAGCATGATCCCCAGGTCCCAAGACATTCTGTCCTTTCTAACAATAAACTCTAACTCTGAAGGATACACCAACACCCCAACACACACCCTAACCACACCACCCTCCACACCTGCCTCAAGCTTTAGGGTAAATACCCCTGGTTTCTCATCAGCCCAGCAATGGTGGGGAATGCCTACTCTAGCCTGTTGTTTGCAGCCAGGAACCTTGCTCAAAGCAAGGAGAAACCAGAAGTATCTCACTCCTTATTTGCTCATCTATGTTTAGTGAGCACCTACTGTGTGCCATGTCTGTTGCTGGGCTCCCAGAGGATACAGAGAAAGCCTAATAGAGCAGGAATGCAAAAGAGACCCAGGATCAGCTCTATAGAGGCATGGCTCCTTGAGCAACCAGTGTCCCCAACCCCAATGCTAGCAACAGCGTAGTGGGCAAGCTCAGCAAAGATTTGGGGCAAAATGAGTGGATGGCTCCTGGCTTGAAGACACGCTGTGTCTCAGACAAAGGCCATCACCATTTGGGGTCTGTCACCTGAAATGTGGGAATAAAAATTCTGCACGACGCATGGCATGGGGAAACCACACCAACACCTCAGGAAACTGGTAACATTCAGTCAAGCTGAGCTTTGCCTAGTCCTGTGGGAGGATCCCCACAACCTGTCAAAAGACAAGAGTGTCATGGCAGCAATACCCACAGTAGCCCTAAAGCAGCAACGTTCCCAAATGCCTCCAGAGGGTGGCCAGGCAGGCAGGAAGGCAGGAGGGTCACACACTGAGCCGACAGTGGTGATGAAAATGACCCTCCATTTCACACAGCCATGGGAGCGAATCTTCCAAAGAGTGAACTATCAGAAGAGCCCGACCTGAAGAGCATGTGTTGCAGATCCAGTGACGCAGAGGTCAAAAATACCAAAGCTAGTGCATACTGCTAGGGGTCAGGGTAACCACAGCAGGGCGAGGCTCAGCAACAGGGAAGGACCCCTAGAGAACTGGTGACAGTTTATTTCTTGACCTCGGTACTGTCTATGGGGAAGAGTGCTCAGTCTGTGGGAAACTCACGTAGCTATTTGCATATGTACCTTTCTCTGAGACATGCTGTCTTTTTAACACTTTTTAAAATAAAATATTTAGCATGCAACACGAGTGTGTGGAGTGTATGAAAACCCACTTGCAAAACGTTTCCCATAACAAACGGAAAACATGTATTCAAGGCTATTGAATTCATTGGTTAACTATTGGTCTGCTGGCTACTCAATGACTGAATGTTGATTCCCACCCTAATCCATCAAGGGTTGAGGATAAATATCGTGCATGTGTTAGGAACAGTAGCACGGGCTAGAGAGATAGCTCCATGTTTAAGTGTGCTTACTGTTTTTCCAGAGGTCCCAATTTCCGATCCCAGCACCCATGTTAGGTGGCCCACAACTGCCTGAAATTCAAGCTCCAGGAGAACCCAGCGCCCTCTCTGGCTTCCATGGGTATTCAACATGGTATACACACACATACACATAAATAAAAATAAATCTTAAAAATAAACACATAATAGTAGCACATATTATAAGCACTTGAAAAGTTTCAGCACCTCATTAAGTGCCTCACAGCAACTCTGTGGGATACAAAACTGCCACCCAGTTTACATGTGAGAGTTCTGAAAGTCACACAATGAGGAAATGGCTGTGTCAGCCCTGTTAACCCCATCAATCTCACACAGGCAGCCGTATCCCAAAGCCAACACTCTTAATTGTGAACCCCAACCCCAAAGTCTCCCCTCCCTACCTTCCTTCTAACGCCCCCTCCAACCTTCCCTCCCACCCAAGGGGAATATGATGAAATGCAGGTTCAGGTGAATTGCCAAGCTCAAACAAGGAAGTGTCAACAGCTCAGAGATGAGAAGAGAACCAGAGAACTTCTTGTCTCTATCTTTCAATTCAAACTCCCTAATCCGAAATGCTTCATCGGGGATTTGCAACCCTAAACGCCATGTTCCTGTACATTCCACTTGATAGCCTTTGGCTTACAGGGTTCTTCTTGCTTTTGAGTGAGTCAAAGAGCAAACACAGGAGGGCTAGGCCACAAGGCTGCCTGCCTCCTTGGGGGACAGCTTTTGTCTGCATTTCTCCTGGCACCTTCTGGGTTGTCTCAAGAACTCCATCAAGATGCCTTCTTGGTCTTCTCCAATTCCATCTTTGTATTAAGGTTCACAGAGCTAGAGGCTCATCACACTTGCCCCCAGAGGAGGTTGTTTAAATGTGGTCCCCTCTGATGCTCTTGGAGTCCACAGTGATGTGTGGTTAAAACAGAAAATTATCCCCAAATAGCCAGAACTTTTGTCCAGGCCCTCCCTCTGCGTGTCTTAAACCTTCCCTGCCCTTTGGTGTCCAGGCAGCCTCTGAATCAGGTATGTAGCTGGGACTACACCATTTTCCCCCAAACTTTAGCCTCTCATAGCCTTGGAAGGTGTTTGTGGTTAACTCCATGATGTAGGTAATGTAACCTAACTGAAGGAGGGGAAGACTTGAAAAAGTTCTAGAGATTTTCCTCATGGTTCCTATAGTTAACAGTGGTGTTAACTCTAAAGTCCACTAAGGAAGTAGGCTTTAGCCTGAGTTATTACCACAGTTTTGTGGGGGGTTTTTTATGAGTGAAAAGAAAGAGAAGGAGAAAAAACAAGATGCAGGGTGATGCATCCTTCCCAGAGTCATTCAACTGCTGGTGAGCCCTGCCAGGTTGGGAACACTGAGCCTACTGACATCATGGCCCATGGGAGGCCTCCAGAAAACATGGCCAGTTCTTTTAGAACTAAACACTCTGCAAACTTGTCCTTGAAAGGAATTGAAGTGACACAGCCCTAAATGATGATAGCCTGTTGTCATTTCTCTTCAGTTAAGATTACTTCAGGCAGATTAGGGCCTTCTCTGAACCTCAGTTTCCCTCAAAGGATTGTGACAAGAGGTATAGTTCCCAGTGTCTCCTAAAAGGGTTTTGCTACTGTTTGTTCTTAATGATGGAAAGATCAGTCTCAAGGCAAGGAGAGTTTGCCTGTGGCTAATACTGCTTGAGAAGATTAATTAGATCCATTTTCTCACCAAACTTAGACCCACCCTTCCTCCCTCCCCTCCCACCTCTCCCAAGTCCCACTGCCCTCTGGAGTTTCCAAGCCCATCTGAAAGCCTACTCAAATTCACCTGCCCTGTATCCAAGTTGTAGAGAAAGAGCTTGGGAAAAGCTGTAATTTGTAAGAAGAAACTCACCTCTGCTCTTTAAACATGGAACCGGTATGGGTTGGGGTTGTAGCTCAGTGGGCTATATCCTGTGTGGTAGATTTTTCTGAAGCTTCCAGCAAATCATGCCTTTCTGTGCTTGGTTAATTTAAAAAACAAAACGAAACTGTGGTTCACACACACCACCAGTACAGGCTCCTGAATACGGTCACTCTCTGGGAAGATGGGGGAAGAACACCTCAGCACAGTGGGCCTCATCAGTGTGATCTGTGAGGGAAAGCTGGGTCAGGAACATTAGCTGGGTGTCCTGCTGTTGCATGCCTGCTCAGGAGCGTCCCCGCTGGGGCACCAAGCATGCAACCCATGGAGGAGCAACTCCAGCAGAAGTAGACATAGGCAGTTAAGTTTCTTAAGTCTGGGATTTGGGCCCAGCTAGTGAGAGCACGTGGGTGGGTACCAATGGCAATATGGATTGGGGGGGGGGGGTGTTTCTGATGCAAATACCCCGGCCCTATTATGATGGTCACATACTAGGTTAGAATTCATACAAGTTCACACTGAAAGAAGAGACTTTACTGAAGAAGAGCTTTACTGAATGATACTGTGGTGTGTTTGCTTGTTCTGGGACTTTTTAAACTCAGGGCAGAGTGTCAAAAACAAACATCTAAGGGTGTGAGAGAGTTCCCACCCTCAAGTCTAGACAATCCCCTATATTGGAGTAGGGATGGGAGGAATCCCAGAGAAACTGAAGAGAATGCACAACTTCAGTGGCTCCAAAACGTGTCACACACTCCCTCTAAGACAGAACTCAGCATAGATGGACTCAGGAAGCCCCACAGACCTGCTAAGTGGGGAACAGAGAATGCCTATGCCCACACCCCTGACAGGGCCAAGACAACAAATGACCCAAGGAGAGATGGTGAATCAGAGGGCTTAGGTGGGAACACACAGCTGGGCTAACAGCCTCCCATAGTCGTGCCTGAGACAGTAAATGCTAAACGCCAAATCTGAGGAAGCCAGGTGGCCCGTGATGTCCCTGTTTTTTTGTTTCGGTGGTTTTGTTTTTTTGTTTTTTGCTTTTGCTTTGTTTTGTTTTGTTTTGTTTTGTTTTGTTTTTGTTTTGTTTTTCAGGACAAGCCTCCTCTGAGACCCTTCATACCCTGGAACAGGAATGAGACCTCAGAGGAAAAGGAAGACATTTCTGTGGCTGGGTAAAATGCCTTCATAGTCAGCAGGTGGTAGGTAAATATGAAGAATGCATGGAAGCCTACAAGCAAGATACACACCAGCTCCCCAAATACGCTTTCCCCATAGCCCTGAGGTGTGCGAGGCTGTCTCGTCTTACACAGGAGGAAAGAGCTTCCGGAACTGGAGTGGCCTGCTGAAGTCAGCATACAGCTAGGACCTGCCCTGTTTTCTGCCATACCCATACTCACCTCCAGGTTTCAACAATTTCCATTAATTGAATACAGATTCCCAGCTCTTTTCCAGACCTTATCTACCTCTCTTTACCCAAAGTAGGAACCTGTGCAGAGGAAGACCTACTCTCAGACCATGCACAGGGGCATGCCTATAATCTCGGCACTCAGAAGTCTGAGGCAGGAGGATAAGATCAAGGCGAACCTGGGCTTCATAGTGACTTCAAGGCAAACCCATGCTGTACA